ATATATATATGTATGTATATATAAATATGTATATATATATATATTTACTTATACTTATATATATGTATGTATATATATATATGTATGTATAAATATATATATATATATGTATATGTATATATAAATATATATATATATATATGTATGTATGTATGTATGTATATTTATATATACATATGTGTGTGTGTGTATGTGTATGTGTGTATGTGTACATATATATATGTGTGTGTGTGTGTGTGTCCGTGTCTTGGTCTGTGTCTGTGTATGTGTCTGTGTCTGTGTCTGTGTCTGTGTCTGTGTATGTATATATATATTTATATATATATATATATATATATGTTATGTATGTATGTATGTATGCATGTGTAGCCATTTTATTTCTAAGATTATTCTTGTATATGAATATGTTTTTATATATCACTATATTTATGTGCATAGTTGAATTTGTAAGAGTAGGACACAGGTATACATAGCTATGTGATAAATATCCGAGTTTGCTTAAAATTTTCTATTCAAGGGTGTTGTATTGATCTACCAAGGTGTACATCACTCTGTCAGTTTCTCCTGTGAATACATCTGTATATATACACTTCGTTACCAGTACATACACCATATTTACTAACACTGTTTGAACTGCTTTGTATACACTCCTTATCAGTCTGCCGTCACAAGTTGCGCGCCCTGCCATCGTTGGCCTACGTGATGGGGTTGGGAATCGTGTGACTCTTTGTTTGTCAAACAACTCGATGCTAAGAGTGGCGGTGAGCGAGTGTGCCAAATCGCCCATAGTGCGGTGTTTGATGAGGCTGCTGCAGGTAAACTTGGTATGTTCTTGGAAATATTCCGGAGGACACAATCCATGCATACCTAGTTGCTTGGGAAAACTCCGGGAGCAATGCAGAGCGCTGTAATTCTGGGATTTTGTAGTGCTTTTCTAATTTTTGCGATAATTCAACCAATTTTACGACAGTCTGTGATCGAGAAATAGTCCTGATTTCGGAGTTTTATAGTTGTTCTGACATTCTCTCAAGATTTTGTCGTCCCGGCTTGCCAATATTTATTTATTAGTTGTAGCACTGTGAATCTCATAGTCTTCCCAGGATCTTGGCCTTATTAATTCGTCCTAAATTGTATCTCATTCCACGGCGCTGTACCCAGGTCATTGACTTGGTCTCGGGCTTGTCGCAATGTTCCCATACCATTACTAAAATTGCTAGCCCAGCATCATGGTGTTTGCCTATTGAACTCGATTGTTGCTGTAATCCATAACTATTTAAATATGTATCCAAGTTATGTGTTGCAAGCTATTTTTTGTATGGACAAGTTTAAGCATTCATGCACATTCTTGTGCGCCCAACTCGCTCTTACCCATACACATGCACACACGAACGCACTTGCATGCGCACGCATATCCGCAATTACGCAAAATAGGTCATACACGAGCGCACTTAAATACACTCGTATATACGCAATTACGCTATACACTCCACACACGAACGTACTTACACATTTACAAATGAACGCGCAAGTACGCAATTATGCAAATTAACTCACGCATGCTTTAGGCTGAGTTGGGCCATTGATTGTCTAAATCTGGAACTTGCTGGGACGAAAGTGGGCAAACACAACTTTCTCCAGTATATGAGTGACCGGAAATGACTATCTATCCCCCCCCCCTTCCTCCTCCTTTTTTGAGGTCACCTAATTCTGCTCTTAATGAGTGCGGCCAGTATAAAGTTACTCATACCTGTGCACATCAATATAATTATCCTCCGTAGCCAACGAGGCAACAACCTCTGCAGGTTCAACACGACACCTTGAACAACCCACCCATACCGCAAACCTTCCTGCGCCTGCGTCGATGCTACCTACTTAGCTACACACCAGCGCGGGAATGGGACGCCCTGGTGCGTGCGGTGTACTGTCTGATAAACAACGGCGATGAGAGCGAATGTACCTGCGGTCCAAATCAGCTCGGAGGCGCCGATGCTAATGAGAAAGGTGGGTGTAGGGACCGGCTGTGTGCTATACCCACCTATTGGTATACCGCTTAGCGTGCCAGACTATTCTATATCTTCCAATAAGTTTTCGATTTTACACGCGGGGTCTGCCACTAGGCGCTGTCTGATGCGTGTTCTGGGGCGGTTGCCTCCCATGTATGACCGATTATGTCAGCCTCTAACGGTGCGTGTGTTCGTACGACTGTACGCGTGTATTAGATTAGATGTTTGGTTTACTTCTATGTATTGCCGTAGTTGCTTTGCCACGTCATGAGATATGTCTTGTTCCGTTTGATCCACCGCATTAGTACTATGACGGCTCTGTCTTCACCTGCAGTCTACTGACACGTGTACTCATTCTGTTATCGCATATGTGTGTAAAGGTAGCATAATTGCGGGTGTATACTTTATCGTGATTCTTGGTATACACACCGAGTTGGTTCTTTACACCCAATGGAATCCATAGTGGTCCATCCGTCGAATGCTATCTATTGATTTCCTAATTTATATTTATAACAAAAATACAAGCTCCTCGTGATCGTTGTTGAATGAAACCTATTGGACTCTCAACCGACTGAATGTGAATCATCACACACTCGATTACATACAGGTTTACAAAACCCAGTGGTAAAGCCGTCAGAGCCTGTGTCCGCTTGGGAGTATCTGTGCAAGACCCACAAGCCAGCGAACACTGGATTAGGCATACCGACAGTAAGTGGAATGTCATGACAGCTATGTATGTTTAGCGTTGTGTTGGGAGATCTAGTTGCATGAGCTACGGTTACCCTGCTGAGCAGCGAATTCATGATTGTGTGGTGGTGGAGAACAGCCCGCGTCTTGTGCACTACATCGCATAGAGGCGGCGCTGATCGCTGATCAGCTCTGTACCTTGATCAGGTGACAGGTTCAGCCATGCCTGTATTGCACAATCCACGTGTGTCATATGAATACCAATCGCCATTAACATTTTCTGGAAAAATGCCAGTCTGCGTAATGTTACATTCTGTGCGACATGTATCTTGCCCTCAATATCTTCTCACTGTGTACTGTCATCAACGCGACCCCACTTAGGCTAGTACGGTTTTCTTTCTAAGTCTCTATGAAAAACCGACATAAAGATTGATTTCGACCCTTCTGCGTTACTAAATCCCAATGTGAATATCACTTTGTGTACAATAGCACTAAATAAGCCTACCATGTGAATTATACCAGGTCCAAGATGGTCTAGTGAAATCCTCTCGTAGGCCTGCACACGAAGTAACACATCGATCGTCCAGTCACCAGCACTGGCAAGTGGTCGAGCGCGTGTTCAAGCTACTGGATGTGTGCGCTGCGTGCATGTCTATTGACGTGAGATTTGTAACTTGTGTGCACCGTTTAAACGGGTTGGTAGACGACATGTTGGCGCAACTGATCAATGTGCAATCGCAGAGCTACACGCGCGTACCGACACACACGGATACAGATCCAGAGAGGCAAGTGCACGCGTTGAAGCAGGCCAAGATAGAGGTCCAGACAAGATTGCGGAGGATTGATATGCTTGGATGGCTGGAAAGTAAGGTCACGCGAATGCGTAGCACTGCACACGCGCGTACAGCCGACTACGCGTCCGCAGAAAACACTCTGGTACTGTTATTAGACCTATTCGTGATGGGCAGATTGGTCGAATTGTCAGCTATGTGTATCTGCTGATTCCGCGCTCGATTCTTTTGCGCTTTATTGTTTTGCATTAAGTTATTTTCGATATTCAGGAATGTGTACAAACTAAGCGAGTGTGGCTAATTTCACAGGATCGTACACCTGTTTTCTATTAGATTGCAAAAGCGACTACCTATGCTCAGATAGTGTTCCATATTAAAAACAAACCGTTCGTAAATACTCTTTCTGTATCCGTGCAGCTCTTTCCGGATGGTTTGCTAGATATCGAGTCACAAAAACTGCCATCGGTGATACAGACTGCCCTAGCGGTAGCAGAGTTGTATGAGTTTATTGGACAAAACCCCAACAGCAGCACCACTCGAGTGATCAGCGGTGTGAGTCCTCAACAGTCCACAGACACAGATGTGAGTTTGCGTGTAGGTGCCTATGCACCGGATCACAGTCAAGTACACTCTGCAAAAGGTACGCAGAACAGGTCCTCAAGCAGGGCTTTCTCGGATATGGGGGTGGACCCTACTGGCGATGGTACTTTTGCAGGAGTATGTTGTGTTGTTTGGAAACAACTCATTCGTATGCCTCCGCGGTACAGTCTGAAAGTCGAGTTTTTCAATTTTCTCAATTTAATGTACATCATACGGATATTGGGGGCGTATCGTCGTCGCTCATGAATCTCTATCCAATTGCGGGCTGACGAAATTTACTCCCATAACTTTTGTTTCAGCCTAGCAGCGATACCGTGTCCCCCACTGTAGGGCTCTCAATACGTGATCAACGCCAGTTGGTGCAATTACTAACCCGCAGGTCATCACGGCTATGTCTTGACAACCTCAGCTTTGGCGTTGCGCTGCCGCTGAGAGAGGTATAAGATGGAGTGCTTGTACAAATACTAATATGTGTGTCACAAAACTCTAATAGGAGTGGATGTAATCAGTCATGCTTATTCATGATGTATAATATGCCATGAAGGCAACAGCAATTGTCGGTCGATATGTTGGTGGTGTAATCAGCCACATTCCTTGTGCAGTCATAGAACAGGCGGGTGATGTGTTGGTGATACAATTAGCCGCCGTCAAACCAAGCCTATGCCATGCGAAGAGGTAACAACAACAGTGTTAGTGAATGAACTTGTCCACATTTTTCAGAAGTGCATATCGTGTGGGAAGTGACAACAATGGGTGTGACAAATTGCTTTTTGATCGGAAATAGCCATGAGTGACAGAACACAGAGGCGACCATAGCAACACTAGCACAATGCCATTATGCTATACATTCTGTTCGCAGTCCGACACCTACACAGAGAGTAAAAATCCTTTTCCCAAACGATTTTTAGATGGCATACTACTATACATACACTTATACAACCAACCTTTGATAGACATAAATGGTATTGGCAATCTCAGAGGCTGGCAGCGGTTTACGATTGTTTGGATTTCGAGCTGGAAGCCCGCGCATGTATTTGATGAGTAGATGATACCTCTTATTGAACAGTTTCCCATCAAACAACCTTCGAATAACTTTGTGGGTATGATACAATTGGATTTGAGACAGTAAGGGGAATCCTCATAGAGGTCCACTCCCCTTGGAAACTCCTTTACCATCTCTATCAAACACAGCACAACCACTCAGGCCCATTGTTTATTACAATCTCACGTCCGCGAATTACGCAATATGATGCCCATGTTGAATAGTGTCTGGCGGCTGTTCGCGAGCACTCGGATCCGGACTTAGACCCACACGCATGCCGGTTGGTGGGGAGGGGAGATTTGATACAGAATAAAGCACCCATACAACACCCGTTGAGTGGCTTGGCATGTCTACCTGATGAAGAGAGCAACGGTATGGGCCGAGACTGTTACTTTAACTTGCTTAAATTTTGCTTTGGCCTCTCGCTCACATATTTCTCTGTGGGCCAATTCGTTCAATGTTCGTGCGCTGTTAAGAAACCTAAAATCTTAGAGTCGATGGCCTCGGTAGATCGGCAACAACTCCAGTAGTTGGCTTCTCATAGTTCTATATTTCGGGCTGCATGGATGGTGCGATATGATTTTGTCTAACAGGACAAGATTATAGCATATCTTGGTTATACTAACAGAACAAGAGTGTATCATATTCTGGTTGTACTAGCAGAACATGAATATATCATATTCTGGGAATACATAATATGTCTAATGTGAACGTGAACCTTTTGCACAGGTAATTAGAATCATGCTTGACGGCTGTTCACATTGTGTAGTGTCGGTAAATATCCTCGGATATGAATTGCGACTATTTATCCTAGCAGTATGCCTGTAGATTCAGAAGAATGTATGTTCAGTATGTTAGATTTTCATATATTCGTAATGGTGTTGTACATGTTCAATGGCAACTGTCCGCAATTTGCTTTCAGTACTATCGTGGTTGAGCTTTGTGAAGTTTGTGTAGCTGTGATATGTATGCGCTTGCTGTGACATGGGCGAGAGACTAATGGTTAATGGCTCCACACGCATTGTTCTGTACAATTGTGTTGCTACATCCGTTCCTTTTCATTCATACATGCTCCAGTGATTACTACTATACTTCACCATTTGTCTTGCCGGGTTTTGAGCACAAGCATTTATTCCGTATGCGTCTCCATCTGCTCCCCCTGATTATGGATGTATGTATCCTGTCTCTGCGCTTCTGTATAGGAAGTAGTCCAAATGGGGTTTGGCGATACTGCTTTACCGAAGATCGACGCTTCCTGGACGCATTGGCTATGTTACAGAGTTCGGGAACCATCTATGTCATGGTACCTGCTGACCGGTATGTTGTATTTCACAGTGGCAGATACACGTTCTTCATATACCATACCGGATGCCAGGATCACCTATCTGTCGATTGAGTGTACAGTGTTGTTAAAATCTACTTCAATTGTGTGCCCATAGGCAGTATCTCGATCCAAAAAGTGTGCTAGTAATCATTAGGGTTTATCTAGAATAGAATTTTGCTATCGGGCCTGTGCGTCCGCAAACTGGGAAGTTACCAACCATGCCCCCCATCCACATCACCCCCAATAATTACACAACCTAAATCATCACCCCCATCACGCACTCCAGGTCAACGGCCGAGTACGATGCCAATTTAGAGAAGCAAACGGTTCTGTTGGCTAAACTAGAGCAGTCGTTGTCTCGCTCAGTTGGGCGTGGCATGGCATTATATGGGTCGTCTCGCCCGCTGTTGACCGAACCACTGCGCGTACCGCCTATAACCACCAAAGGTAAAACACTTCGTCTAAGTGATCTATATTTTATACTTACATACCTGTTTCCTTCACGTGTTGGTCCTGAGCTCATGAATAATGGATTTGTGATTAAAGTACATCGGTCCTGCACAATCTCACAGGATTGTATCTGTCCTTCGTACATTTTGTTCGTGGACTCATGCTTCCGATGAGAAATTCCTGAATGTGAAGGTATACAGCAGTGATTGTAGAGGATTACACTTATCGATATCAGAAGCTATTCATTCATGTAATTCATGTATGGATTTGGTTGGCCAAAAATATGAATATATGTTGAGGATCGCCTGCACTTTTCTCACCAGAACGAAGGTGTAAGTAGACTCGTCGGTGCATTGCATTGCGTGATGTTTGTAGTCTTTCTGCGAAATGCGCCTTTATGTAGTGAAAAAGGTACTAGAATTCTCACAAGACTCGTCAGCCTGATAGTTCACAATTGTTGCCTGTTTCAATCCTCCTATTTTGATCGCTTGCGCGGTGAATTTCTCGGACTGCATATATTTTTGGCATCGGTTACTCTTTTCTCCTTGCCGTATCGCTTGGTGGCTTTATTTTAGCTGCTGAGTATACCATCTCCCTGTTGTTCTTCCCTTGTTTTCTGCTCACAGGCGACGTCCGGTTGAATCGATTACCATGCTCTTGATCACAAAACCGTCACCTTTGCAAAATCTCTCACAAAGAATTTTGTGCCTACGTCCACACAAATACTGGCTCACACCCACTTTATATCGATAACCACACAAAAATGCGCTGTAGAGAAGCATCATATTCGAAAATCCAGACCATATGCTTGTGCGCCAAGCACCACTTCCACGCACTCCAATACCCCACATCTGCACGGTTTCATCGGTTGCATCCACCATTCCACACAAAAACAAAACTTCGTCAAGCCTTTATTTCAATTGATTATAGTCTTCTTGCAGATAACTTCCAAAGACTATGCGCTTGATAACGGCTCACACTCAAATTGACCCACCGTAATGACAGGCCAAGACTACCAAACCAGAGCAACGTTGACTCTGGATCCATCGGTGTTTCCCTTCGTGGCACCTCCTGATGCGCTGCCCACAACCACTGGCACCACTACTGATATCTCGGGCTTCACTGCATGGCCCGAGTTCCATAATGGCGCTGCGGCGGGTTTGGAAATCGCTGTTAAAGATGGGATAAGCAATATCAATTCGGCGTGGTATGTATGTATACAGGGTTCATGTGATGTGCAGTGACTACTTGTGGCGAATGTGTGTGTGATCTATGTGTTATGCGACTACCTTTTTCTCAAAATCCACGAGCATGAGCTTCATTTTGTACCGCTGTTTTAATTGGATTGTGAAATTGCAATGAAATGAAAAGGTGGGATCGATGCATTTGTACCTAGATACGTAGCATTTTTCTGTTACACGGTCATAGCTCACATAAACTAGCAATTTTATAGTGCCCAGCAAAAAAAAATCGCATCAACTGTCTTACATCCGATACTGACACCTATTGTATGCTTAATCTGTATTGGTGCGCGACGTCCCCGAAGCACAACTAATCTTGTACGAATCCTTCACCCTACAGGATAGCATACAACAAACCACTCACATCCAAAAAATCCTTGCCGAATCAGAATGGAGAGTCTGACGAAAAATCTGTGACCGAAAATACTTATGCTGGTTTCCTATTAGCCCTTGGATTGCAGGGACATTTGTCGCATCTCTCTCCTGCAGCCCTGTATGGTTTTTTGCGTGGTCGGAATACTACTACTAGTGTTGCCATAGTGCTGGGCATGGCCGCCACTTGCAGAGGTAAGGATGTGGTAGCTGCCAAGTTTTTCAAGTAGATCACTGTATATGTATTCCGTGTAATTGGTCATCTGATTAATTGCTTGCGCATGTATTGTCGGTTTACATTGTGACCTTAAGACCTGGTTGCATCTACGGAACAGAAGTTTTTTGCCTGCAAGGTTACCTACGTCGAGCAGCATACTAATCTCTGTATGCGATTTTGTGGTCAAATGAGCAAAGAAGCATATGCGTATCGTATCATCGAGAATAGTTTCGAGATCTGTTTTGTATCGTATTTGTACTTACCTAGGGGCAGATGGTCTAGTGGTGCTCACATCTCCACGAAAAGTACCGCACGCTAGACTGCCACATGTCTGTGTGCGTACCTTTTCTTCCCGCACTTTGGATCCTTCACAGTGTAGTACTGCAGAACAACCCTCCCAGAAATCAGCTTGTTGTATTCCGTCGATCCACTTTTCATCAGTAGACAGAGATATTTAGGTGCCGCTCATTATAATTCATCCGCTCTATCTCATTTTCGCTAAGCTGATGTTATAGAAAAACTTTCTCTTGTCTTGATTTGTACTACATTATAGGCACACAAGACGCCACTGTCACCGGTCTTCTTGCTATGTTTGTGCCGGCGCTTTTACCTGCGCGGAGTGCTGAATTAGAAGCCCCAGAAGCCGTTCGCACCTCGGCGGTGCTGGGGTTGGGTTTGCTATACCAAGGCACAGCCCAAAGACAGGTATGTGAATGTAACGCCACTGATACAGTGCTGCGCATTTCTCATTAAAACTCTGCTGTATGAAATTGGGGAGAGCTTGACATGTTTAGGCACAGTTCGACGACTGGTATGTTTTGGCAGCATGGTTCCCTTGCTTGATATTCTTAAGCCTTGTTGTGGGTCGATGGGGCGGGGTGGGATTGTTAGTTCAAGGCACTGCTCAATAGCAAGTAGGTGGCTGCAGCATGGTTCAGTTGCACAGTTCTGTACATCACTACTTCTAGCTTGGTTGTGAGTATTCAGGGCGCCAGAATTGATCATATGCACGTTGCTTTGGCTAGAGAAAAAGACGGCAACTGAGGATGTCGAGCAAAAGATGACTATTTAATTGTGTTTTGGTTAGCATAATTGTGAGAGCTTTAGTGTTCTTGACTTACCATACCGGTAGATGGTTCAACAATATGCGTGTACTGGCAGCTGGTAGCATAGCTGGTAAAACGATTGTTTTTAGCACATTGTTTTGCATTGTTGCTTGAAGCTATATTTTACTCTTGGTGCTATGCCTGCTTTCTTCAGTCTCAACTTGAAGATGTGTGTGTGCTGGCAAATGTAGTGGGTAGAATGTGCCAATTTGTACATTGCTATGCATCGTATATATAACTTTGTTGTGCTTTTAGTGGAAGAGTTTGCTACATCTAGAAATGACCTGAAAACGAGTGTGTGTCAATCAATTCCATGAATGATTATTCTTTGTGGGTTGATCTGCATCATTGTGTTATACCGTACATTGATATTTTACAACGTCACACCGGCTAGTTGCCAATTTGCTACCACATAGTCAACTATCTATACCACCCGCCTTCGCAACTCGATCACCAGATGTGCAAGACCCTACTGCGTGAGATTGGCAAAGGCCCCGGCAGCACAAGCAACGGTGCCAGCAGTGGGTACGACACTCGTAGTGTGAGTAATGATGAGATCAAGAACGCTCCCTCGTACTCGCTGGCATGTGGGTTGGCTCTGGGGATGTGTGCGCTGGGAATGGGTGATTCCTACCAGAGCGTCCATGCACTGGGAGATTTGAATTTGCCGGACGAGTTGAGAAGGTAAATTAGCACAATTAGTATGGTATAACTATGTAGTTGGGCGTATGGCTGTTGTTTGTGGCGCGAGTATCTGTGGGAGCTGTAGATTTTGTAGTGTTGAGACACTTAGTCACTGGTTCTGAGGTTCTGTGTGTTGGACACTTTTATATACGAGTGTGTTTATGTACTAAGTGATCTTACTCTAAATTGAGGAGGTGAGTTGCTTCCTTTGTGGATTTCAAATACAACGGCAGGCTGAAGGTTGTACTTGTGGCCAGGGGACCTGTGCGAATAGCAGGTCTTGTGTTTCTGGAGTATCTACTAGCGGGTTGGCTGTCGGGAAGTCTGCTTCGAGAATGAGCGAACTATATCAGAGTGTGCATGCGCTTGAATACTTAAATATGTCGGGCGAAGTGAGGAGGCCCGAAGGTTTGTTTGTCGTTTTGTGTCACATCTAGAACAAGCTGATGGCCGATCTGCCCTGTAGTTCTTCACGTGGAAGCCTGTGTGTGTTGATTCTTGCAATGCCTGAGAACAGAGTCATGCTAGCTAGCCGATAGAGTGACTTTGGAAATAACTGTCATGGAATAGTTGTCATACTGCCCTGTGGTCGTAGTAAAATAGGACGACTCCACGCGTGATCGTATACGTGCTTTGAAGCTTTCTATCTACCTTCGATACTATTCGCACTACCCTGTAGATATATGCTTGGTGGTAAACTCCGTCCCAGTGAGATCAAGGAAGACAAGGATTACCGAATCAAAGAAGGGGAGCGCATCAACACAGATATCACAGCGCACGCCGCAACACTTGCTCTTGGCCTGATATATCTCAAGACAGGAAACCGATCCATATCTAGTAGGTATGTATTATACTAAAATAGTATTGATATATCTTATACTAGAGTTGATCATCAGTTTATGAGTTCCTAACTAGGTGCGCCAGAGATGATAAATATAGAATAGAATGCGTCCTATCTCTGCCTGATTTATGCCCAGCCGAAACTGTATGTGCCTATTCTAAACCATTGCTGCCGCCACGCGTACACTACGAAGAATGTATTTCTACCTCTGTAGAGACGTATGGCTCCGCATTAACTCCTATAAAACTATTGTAAGATTCTGTTTGAACTTCTGGTAGAGCAGATACAAATGCCAAATTCGCATATGTGGTAGATCGTATATCCACCTATCAAGTGATTAGGCCAAAATACCTAATATACCTAGCTTTTTTATGCTGAACGTTGCCACGACATTCCACCAGCTGAGTATGTACGAGCACGCTTGCTTGGTACTTACGTTCATTAACGTATGCTTGCTCATTAGTCCAATCCACAATGTGCCTTGCTCAGATTGGGCCATTCCATCACCTTCGATAATGCACGAGCACACTTCTTTCTCTCCTGCTGCTTCAGTCGCATACCTACTCATCCATGCATTCTGCCCACTGCACTCAGACTGGATGTTCCAACAACATTCCACCAACTGGAATACGTACGAGCCGACTTACTCCTCCTTCGCGTTCTGTCGAGGTCACTGATACTCTGGGAAGAAATCGAGGCAACTTCACAGTGGGTGACCTCGCAAATTCCATCGGTAGTCACAGACCTCCTGAACGCCGCCCCCAAAGATCGTGCTAAGTTTCTGGGGCCACGGGGCTACAACTCTGCCGAGGCTAGATTGCCCATTGCACGACAGGTGTGTATGTAGATTATACACACTAGCAGCTACTGTCCTCGATGGTCTACAAGTTTTCGAGTAAGGGCTGTATCGATGCTAGATTATCACCCATGCATGTCAGGGTAGTCAATACACACAAGCAACGATATTTTGGTTAGTAGATGTTGGTTGTGGTAGCTGTTGTCCTAAGAGTTCAGTCGCTCACATGCTAGTCAAAATTTACCTATCGCTGTAAATATACATCATATGCATGAATATATATGTAATAAATGGTTTACACGTAGTTAGTGTGTATCATTTGTGTGTCGACATAGAGACTACTTGTGCATATCTTGTACTCCTATTGATTTTTCACTCGATGTAGGGGTATGTGTGCTTATACGCTATTGAATGCGTCTACTCGCCACCAACAGGTGTGGATGTATATGATCACTGGCTCGTGCTTTGCCATTGGGTTGAAGTTTGCCGGGTCCGCTGATGCCGATGCACAGCGTGTTTTGAGGGTATGAGAGTTTGTATCTGAGGTGGCATGCACGCCACAGCGACTGCCGGAAAAGTTGTTTGATCGTTTGTGCTGCTCATGTCAACCTAAATGATGCCCTAGTTTCGTTTTAGAAGACCAGAACTTGAGTATTGGAATTTTGTTAACAATAGATTCGATCGATTCATAGTGTGCACGTGTTATTTGTCATACGCATTCAATTGTAAATGACCATCTTTAATCCGGTTCAACTTTTACTATATACTGTTTAATATATCAATTATATCAGTTACCATATCTGAAGCTTACTAGGGCCCTAATATTTTACACATAGTACAGGTGGTATAATAAAAGCCATTTAACCAACAAATCCTCTTCAATTATTCAATCAATGAGCCCGTGGTGCGCAAATGTGCTGTGTATATATATAATATTTGTTTTTCCAGAGCATGTGCAAATACTGAAATTCTCATGACCCGGAAGGATAATATCGCGTCGTTTAATCCCAATACGTAATTCAGCTGTACGCCATCCACGTGCTATCTGCACGGCCAGCGGACTTCGATCAAAGTAAGTCTACTATCCGTGTGTCCTCTTTACTTTGTATTGAATAATTAAACAAGAATCTTTTCTTTGTCTTGTACTGGAGGGTCACCACCGAAGCGTCGTGCCGATATCGTAATTCGCCACTGATAACCAAGGCGTGATTCTGTATTCTTGCTAGATTCCCCAATTTTAAATCCGTGATCGCTGGGCTATCTATTTCAATGCGATGCTTCGCTTAGAAGCGTCAGTCATCCAATGCAATACCGTATAACTTACAAGTAGTATAAACTTTATATTCCGCCCAGGTCCCAATATTCTAACGTCGTGCGCGTTGGTGTGTCTGAATGCGTTGTGCATGGTCATGGCGGGCACGGGCGATCTACCCACCATGCGACTGATTCTTCGCTTCAAGAAGGAAATGCATCGCAGTTACGGTACGATTTAGTTCCAGAGCCTATATGTGGACCGACATTTCCCGTCTTCGTCCACGTACACATAAGTATAATTCGGGGTCACACGCATGTTTCGAATACAAGCTGGACTAGTTACATACAAGCTTTTCCCGGGCGCATACACATCTCGGTACTCGGTTTTTGCGTACACGATCAATTGCATTTTGTGGTGATCAGTGTTCGTTGCTTGGGGCACGTTTCCAGATTTGTCCATATAGGAACAAACACCTTCTGTTTGTACATTTCTTAATCAACATCTACTACACTGGAAATCGACGCTATTGAGTCTTTCATACTTTTCTAGCAAACTTCGGCTTGCTTTCCGTCCACAACTCCTCAAGCTCAAGCATGAGCTCTCAACTCACAGTTAGTACCTACGACACTTAAATCAATGGGATATGACCTTTTACTTCTTCCCAGTACTAACAGCTTCCCACTCCACCACTCTTGACATAACTCCTCAGGCTCGAGCATGAGCTTGAACATGGGGCTGGGTCTGCTCTTTGTCGGGTCTGGCATGTGCTCGTTGTCCACCTCTAACGAGGCCATTGCGGCGCTTATCTGCTCCTTCTATCCCATGTTTCCCGAGAACCCTACAGATAATCGATATCACCTCCAAGGTATTCTATAAACAGTACGTATATGCTTTCACACGTCCCTACGTGCTGTCCGGTTGGCTAATAATATTTTTTCAGTGTGCGATGTAAACAGGCGTATGCAGATTTATTCAATATTGTGCCTACAAAGCATCGAAACTCTATGCTATATGCCAATCATGCCCGATACTGACGACACCAAAAAATCTGTATTGAAAATAATTAGTGAGTTATATGTATATTATTGCTGGACTGTGTCGGGTATGCCGGATTTAACATCGTGATCATGTGCGCGCGAGTGTCAGTGGGGTTACCAGAACTTATATGCGAGCTTATTTTTTTTAGGATTCTCACCAGGGTATCGGCGCTGATGCCATACTCGATGCTCCTATGTTGTATACAATATTGTGTATTTCAGAATTCTTGCCGTGTGCTGCCTAAATGAATTCCGTTGTACCACTGCTTAATACTTGGAGGCACTTGAAACAGTCTGTTGTACATACATCTCTTAGTATTCGTACAGTTGTGTCGTCATACATGCTATGAACAAGAAAAACTCGGTCTTCACCTCTGTTTTCCCTCACTACGTATTGATGCTCAAAAACGACATTGTCTCACAACAACTTCAGCGTTCCGTCATTTGTTTGTGCTTGCGTTGGAGAGCCGTACAGTGATTCCGCGCGAGACCGACGGAGGCGCTGCCGTGTCTGTGCCTCTGATAATCACCATGCGCAATGGGTGCACGCGCAAGGTGGTGGCCCCGTGTGTGTTGCCTGAGCTCATGTATATGAAAGTATGTGCTAAATTTGTGATCAATTGATACCAGCCGTATATCTCACATGATGTAAGATACACTGATTTTAGCCAAAAAAAAAACACACAAAAATTACTGTCATGTGATGCCTTGTTAGAACTTTGACAGAATTTGAATGTTCTTTTGAAGTCACAACCAGTATTGCGCGTATGTAGTTTTTTTTTATTTGTTTTTGTAAACGACCCGATTACACCACAGATGCTACCCGGAGGTTAAAAAAAGCCAAAATACAATGTACTCTGAGAACTTCAGAAACCCCTTCCATATCACAGATGGTACCGTGAATGACAAGAACAATGCACATGTGTATATATTTTTAAATACGAATGTATATCTAAGTATTTGCTTATAAATGAATAGGCAGATGTATCATTATTGACTGAAATACCCCTCCTCATCACAGATGATATCGGTCGACAGTCCACGTTACCATCCCATACACATCCCTGTCACCCCTGACACGCGCCTAACGCGACTGTGCGCTCTGGTGGTGCAGCGCAGGACTGGATTTCTTCCCTATCGAGATGATCCTAATGGCATTAGGAGGTTGGCTGAATCTGTAATGTTCACCTCCTTCAACCACCGAGATCACAGGTATAGTCCAGTTTCATATCGTCTGGTCAACTCAGGTCACTCACAAGAGCGCATTTATAAAACGTATGTACCACAATGAGCTTTTCCAGGCGTTAAATTACTCAATTGCCACACTTGCTGGTATATATATATATGTGTGTGTGTGTGTGTGTGCATTTACATATATAAATATATATACATATTTATGAATATATATATATGTGTGTGTGTGTGTGTGTATTATATATATATATATGTGTGTGTGTGTGTGTGTGTGTGTGTGTGTGTGTGTGCTTTTTTGTGTGTGTGGATATTATATATATATGTATATATATGTATATGTATGTATGTATGTATATATATATATATATATATATATATATATATATATATATATATATATATGTACGTATGTATGTATGTATGTATATATGTATATATTTTTATATATTTATATATTTATATATTTATATATTTATATATGTGTGTGTTTGTGTGTGTGTGTGTGTGTGTGTTTGTGTATATAGATTTATAGATTATTGGTACAAATATACGCATATAAACTAGGGTGTTTATTTGCAATTGCCTGTGAGTAGTAGTGCTTGTAGCTGCAGTGGTATGTTCAATTCCCGAATTTCTTCACTACTTTCTAGGGCGTCACATCCGAAACTGCTCGAAACCTCGCAACGTGCGCAATTGATGCGAATGGTACGTGCATACACACTCGATGCCACGCTGCTGGCATATGCCGAAACTCTACTAGGTCGGGCCGAAGAGGTAGGGTGGGCTGAAACACGGTCGTTGTGTCGACGCTAGATATACAGTACCGGTTGCATTACTATTGTACGTCCCATTTGTATTGTCCTAGACGTAGGTAAACCCAATTCAAATGTTGTTGTACCAACGAGTGCGGCGTGTATGTTCTGTGCCACGGCGCTGAATACTTAAGTGTGATTCTATATCGGATAAACTTGCGCAGATTTTTGTGTGCTGATAATGTTGAAGGGTACCAGTGTTTTGCGGAAGGGTGTGAGCCGGTTTTCACTGGTAGAATCCTTATTATCACACGCACAAATAGTTTGCTTGGTTTTTTGGCTCGTGCAACAGTAATCATAGCATGTACACCCAAGCACATCCTTATGTCGACTAGTACGTATAGGCGTATTCCGTTGACACCGGGATGGTTCAGCTACTGTTCCATAAACCGCAGTGTCGTTTATTGAAGAAAAAAAATGCGGACTATAGCCGTGTGAAATGCTCCTGATTCAAGGCTGCCGCGCATCTTGTCGTCATCCCACATCAGCTTTCTATACGATAATTGGCGTCTCTGTGGTAGCATCGTCAATCTTTGTGACTCTCTTATAACGTTACAGCTTGAGTCACTTGTCATTTACATGTATTTTAAATTCGCTACAATTTAGAACGAATCATTCATCGCAATACTAAGCGAGTGCCTGGCGAGCGGAACGCCGGAGCTCCTTTCCAGTTATCTGGCAATCAATCACACGCTGAAGGTTAGCCCCACTGTTTGCAGCTCACGCGTGACTTTTCCTCGCCTCACCATATAATATCATCTACTAAGTCCGCCTCTGCCGTGCAGTGTTTGCTACCGGATTTATGCAAGATTTTCAACCATTTTACGTATCATAGCAATATCTCACATTGCTGTATGGTTTCGCGGTAACCTACTAACTACTCAGTTCCAAAATGTGCTACAGTTCTGTCAATTTTGTATACTTGAACCACACACTGAGTGACAACGAATAAACCCAGCACATGTTTTGCAAAGTGGTACCTGATGGACCCAGTACATATATCGAGAGCAGTACCTAGTACGCAGAGTGGCACCTAGTAGACCCAGTACATGTATCGCAGAGTGGTACCTAGTAGACCCAGTACATGTATCGCAGAGTGGCACCTAGTAGACCCAGTACATGTATCGCAAAGTGGCACCTAGTAGACCTAGTACATGTATCCAATCCATGTGTGTTTGACTCATATAATCACACTTCATCAAAACTTTGTATGTCGTGCCCTTTCTACACAGATGGCGCGCACGACTCCCTGTATACACAGCCTACAGAATTTGCGACTAGCGAGAGCTTTCTACGCCCACAGGAGAATATGCGAGAAAGTATGTGTGATTTTCGGTTGTGTGTGCATTCGTACAAGCTGAGTTCTCATGTTTGGAATAGTTATTTTGGGAGTGTTTGCGGCTGCTTGTAGAGTCTGTGGAAATGGGTGTAAGCATGTGTGCTGTGTGTACATGAATTGTTAGTTAGATTATAAAGTATAGATTATAAAGTATCCTTATTCTGCGTCTGTATGTTGTGACAAACCTGCATTGCACTTCACGAGGATCATGAATACGCAGAGAGATGTGTGTGAGCGAGCGTGTGAGTGCGTGTGTATGCCTTTGAGATAACACTGTACTCAGTGCTGGTGCGTACAAACACTACAAACGACAATTGACCATCTATTGCGTGCGCATGTGTGTAATTGTACTCACAAGTACTTTCCTAGCACTCAACCCTGACACTCAACCACCGCAGCCTATTGTCAGCGTTTTATACCGTATTTTAAACGGCTTGCGAAGCCGAATATACTCAAAAATTATCTCACCAATGAAGTACACAAACTCCATTACAGCCACCACTTATGCTGCAGTCGTATCTCGACTATGTGCATCAACAAGTCAGCTCAGCGCTTATCAGTCCGAGGTATGGTGAAGTTGAGTCTACCTTCTCTCTGTTTCACTTTTTTCGATTCACTTAAAAAAGTTACTGTGCACACTTTGTCCCTTATGTACCGTATGCCTGCTGTGTGCTCAATCTCAACAATACCCTTTTGTATCTCCTGGGAGCTTTATCCACTACCTGCTGTATAAGTATTGTGCTTCGCAAGTGCTGTCACGTTTATACATGTAGTGTGCATGCCTCTTCCGCAAATGTACCACATCACCTTGAAATGCGCGTGTGTGCAGTATATGCTGGATCAAGTGGTCTAGTTTACCTTCTCTCGACAGCATATCATTTGAAGGTATGCTACCTTGCTTACGATTGATTTGCCAAATGCTTTTCTCTCGTCATTCCATTATAACTTTACGTGTGCCATTTCCTCTACCACAGTCCCAATCTGGATTCCGAGATTGTACAATCATTACGCTCAGTATACTTTTTTGGTGGCGCAGTAGGTCCGAACAAGGATGTACAAGCCATCCGCGACGCATACGTAAGTATATCTATAAAACTTGTCTTTTTTCCTTCAGATTTCCGTGTCATACGTCCAAGATTAAAATTATGTGAGCTCTGACAGTCTGTTGTAGACTCTGTAGTTTTTAACACTAGTTTGACTCATTAAGTTATATCGTCCTCGGCTCATCATGCTTGTCCCCCAAATTCTTGCTTCGAAGACATTTTCCTACATAAATCTCTACAACTCAGTTCTAATCTGGAATACAACATATGCATTGATACAATAGGCACACCACACAGAACAACTGCCTCCCATCTCGGCTATGTCGAGGTTGGCTACTGAATTCTCTTCGCTGAGCCCAGACACTCTTCTATCTGTGATGGACAGTGTCACCGGCGTGCCCATTCTGTGAGCCACTCTATGGCGTACACCACATCATTCAATGGATGCTAGATGAACACAAATATTCTTTCCACACCACACTTGGCGCTGGCCAGGAGCTCGGATCTAGAGACACAACCATTTACACAAAGACAACAGGCTTGTGGCGGCTAGTTGGAATCCGGCCAGAAAGCAATGAGATTTTGTCCTGAAATCGAGATTTAAATAGGATAAAACACACCAGTACGGCCCAACAATTCCTCAGGTATCATTTGCATGTAGCGCTCAGCTAGAAAGGATCCAAATACTCGAATGAGATTGAAATACCATGAAAAACCAACCCGGAAGCTAGAAATTGGAGATACAAGAATCATTAGTAAATTCATAGTGAGAGCTGGCAACATCGGAATGTTGAAGGCAAACCCCGCGGCTGAGTATAAAACAATCATATCTGGGCAAGAAGAAATGCAAATCACACTTCAGCTGCTGTCAATTGAAAGAATCAGCTTTATTCAGTTGTGACATTGTTGTGACATATAGAAACATTCTGACAAAATACATTTTGAGCTCGAATTGTTAGATAGGTGCCTTATTGTCCGGCATCAGTGCACCCGAGCTGCCTAAGCAGCTGTGACAACTAGCATACATATATGTACACAGAGTCATAGCAGCGGGCAACATGCATTTTAATCAGACAGATAGTGGTAGGTCTACCACTCGCATTCTATACGATACAACGATGTGAGTTAACACTGTATAACAGTATGTACCACATGAATAACAACCATGCCACTTCTTACGCCTCGCTGCCGAATATGTTGTTGATTTGCTGTGTAACCCGAATGAATGTTGTGCGCTTGGGCAGCTCCTTAAGATTACTCGCACCCACATATGTACAGGTCGATCTCAAACCTCCCAATATATCCAAGCAAGTTCCATTTAAAGGCCCACGATACGGTACCTGCACAGTCTTTCCCTCACTCGCACGGTACTCGGCTACACCACCACTGTGCTTTGTCATAGCCGTCTGACTACTCATGCCGTAGAAGATTTTGACGCGCTTGCCGTTGTCGAGTGTCTTCTCCTCACCACCAGACTCATCGTGTCCTGCAAGCATTCCTCCCAGCATCACAAAGTCAGCACCACCGCCGAAGGCCTTGGCCACGTCTCCGGGACATACGCATCCTCCATCGGACACGATGTGACCACCAAGACCGTGTGCTGCATCTGCACACTCAATTACAGCGCTCAGCTGGGGGTATCCGACACCTGTCTTTTTGCGGGTGGTACACACTGACCCGGGTCCAATGCCCACCTTCACTATATCAGCACCCGAGAGTATAAGCTCCTCGGTCATCTCACCTGTAACTACGTTACCGGCGATGATGGTGTGCTTGGGGTATTGGCCACGCACATCACGTACAAACTCTACAAAGCCCTCAGAGTAACCGTTGGCGACATCCAGGCAGATAAAGGTGATCTCGGGAATTTTCGAGAGAACGGCTTTCAGCTTTTCTAAGTCTGCAGCGCTACTGCCAGAACTTACAGCGCAGTGGGGCAAGGCCTCGGGGTTGTTCTTGGCGAAATCAACCCACTCCTCTACACTGTAATGCTTGTGCACACATGTGAACATCTGCTTATTGCCCAACACAGCGGCTGACTCGAATGTGCCCACTGTGTCCATATTAGCTGCCATAACGGGCACACCCGTGTATGTAAGTCCAGAGGTTCGGAACTTGTAGGTCTTGGCAAGTGTTACCTCTGACCGACTGCGCAGAGTAGATCGTTTAGGACGGAACAACACATCCTTAAAATCGAGCTTCAGCTCTTCTTCGATCCGCATAGTGTACTAAGCGGAGTCGAATCTGACTAAATAACAAACAAACACCACTATTGGGCTGTTGGTATGTTAAACTATGCAAGACTGAGCTTTGCTTCTCGTCGGCCGATAGTATTTGCACGCAGTAAAAATAAAATAAATAACAAACTTCATGAAGAGAAGACGAGCAGTATTATGAATTCTGAAGAAAAAAAGCGATCTACCTCGTGTGGAGAAGTCCAGACTCCAACAGTAGGCTCCAGGGCCCAGGGCCCCAGGCTCCAGCCTCCAGACTCTGATCAGAGTCCAGAGTTTCAGTCACCAGTGAGGCAGCAGGCTGTCCAGCAGTGACACTGACCGGAGTGACCATACAGAATCGAGTCCTGATCACAAATCATCACCCCCACGGTTCCAGACTCAAAAGTCCCAGTCCCAGTGTCCCCACTGACCCACTGTTTTGAATGTTGGGTTTTTGTTTTGGCACGGAGTTCGGATTTCGGACTTCAGGTCTTCAGAGTACGGTGCATATCGAATATTTTCAGAGACTGGACAAGTGGACATTGGACTGTCTAATTTTCAGAAGGCTGTGTTGATATCGGTGATCGACTCATCGGAGAGCAATTAAAAATGTCCGACCCGAGAGCGACCGGTCCCTGAATCTGCTGAAAAGTTTCGACTCTGGATGTATTTAGTCTCTCGTCTGTCTCGAACTCTCCGTCTCGCGTCTACTCTCTCTCTCAGAGACAGAACGAGAGATAGAGATCGAGAGAGAGATAGTAGAGACACTCTCCTAATAGAGAGAGAGAGAGAGAGGGTGGGGGGGGCCGGAGGCACTGGGTCTAGGAGTCTGGGACTCTCTCTAGTCTCTTCTAGTAGAGTGTAAATATGGACTCGAGAGGGACATAAAAAATCTGCATAAGAAGTCTGCATTATTATCAGGGCAATACTGGCATGCATATTAATGATATTATATTTTATATATTTTGTAACAGACTGTTTTCGCAGGCAGCAATGAAGCATCGGATCATTTGTATATATATGTGGCATATTGCTCATCACGCTCTGAGAATTATTATTTTGCCTAAACTACTATTGTACGTAGGACAACAACATACTGCTATAATTGAATACTTCCCTGGGGGCCCAGACGAGACCCAGGTTAAGTAGTTCCGCAACTTACAGACATACCAAGTATATATATATCTATATCTATATCTATATCTATCTATCTATATATATATATGTGTGTGTGTGTGTGTGTGTGTGTGTGTGTGTGTATATATATGTATATATATATATATATATATATATATATATATATATATATATTTATATATTTATATATTTATATATATATATATATATATATATATATATATATATCTACACGTAATTATATATCTCTCTATATAATCTCTAATTGTACATCTCGCTAACTCTCTGTATCAATTTGTGTATCCGTATATCCACATATCTATATCCATACATATACATACCCATAGCTACACCAATATGCCTATAGATATATATATATATATATATATATATATATATGTATATATATATATATGTGTGTGTGTGTATGTATATATATATATATATATATATAGATATAAATATTTATATATTCATACATACATACATACAATATATTTGTACATATCTATATATATATATGTGTGTGTGTGTGTGTATGGATGTGGGTATTGGTGTGAGTATCAATATAGTATGCGTAGATAGATATATTTGTATCTATATCTATCTATATATATATATGGGAGGTTGTGGTTGTGGGTGATAGTTTGTAATATATAGTGTATAGACATAAAGTGGTTTGATCACACAGTTTGAAAACAGCACACACGAGACGATTTTGTTGCAAATACACTTGCAATTCCTGCTACAACTTACGCACGCACATGCAATCCCAGCTACATTTGAAACGGCAGCTTATATGTTGCAAACGGGCTCTTTCTGGTATTTACTTATCCACCTAATAATTGTATCAATATATTTTTACTTTTACGCGGCGTTGAGTTGGTGCTAATATTCCGCAGAATTTTTGCTCGTATAACAAACCTAATTTTGACACATGATAGCACAATGCACATATTTTGCGGATTGCGGCCCAACTTGCGCTTTGCTTTAACCAACGTAAATTCTGATTCGACCTGGGCCTATACGGTTTTCGGTTTTCGCAGGTATTGAATAGTTAGTAGTTATATAAATGAGGGTCCGCCATGTGTGTACACCTCAATATCTCGGAATGATGACAAATAGGTCCGAGAAAGTGTTTATTTTTTCTTCTTCTTCGGTCTTGGGGACCTGGGCGAATTCCCCCGTGAACGTTTGTTGACTGTTTCCGAATTAGTTGATTTGCCGTGTTCGGACCTCCGTTTACTGGCATCGTTGGTGTACTTCCTCCTCTCGGACGGGCCCAGCAAGGCCCATTCATGAAGTGCTAGCTGTGGTTACAAATCGAAGATAGCGTAAACATTACATAAGACTAGGCCAAGGTAATTTTGCGTTCGCAAACAATCATACACCGGCCGAATAAGCCAGACAACGCTCACGACAAATAAAAGATATGATTGTCTGCTCATTACTATAAATTTGTCCATATTTGTCTGCTCATTACTATAAATTTGTCCATATTTGTCTGCGCATATCTCTCTGCCTGAAATTAAACACTACACCTATCATATTAAAGTGTGACGCCTTCGCAATCATTTGTAGCTAATAAGAACAATTTTGATCCCGTTCATCATGTTCAGCTTGTCAACAGACTATAGAGTGATATATGCTTTTCCTTCTATAAGGACTAACATTGCATATATACACATCCACTTTGCAAAGCACATACCAATTGTATCTCTTCGTGGCTCTGTCCGGGGTTTGCGGCCATCAGAGCGCTTTTGAAAATTTGGTACTCGTTCTGAGGTTTGATGCTATAACTCCTCTCTTGTTGATTATTCCCTGTCCGCGACGCACTACGCGAATTATTCCTGCTACTCGTCTGCTGTGTTCCTGTGAGTGTATTCTTATCTTTCCCTGTGTCGCCATTAACCATAGCACTTCCCCCGGCACTCCCACGGTTGCCACCATCTGATTCATCGCTAGATTTTGCCCCAGACACAGTTAAGGTGATAATCGGACCCGCCCCCAGTGGTGCTTCTTCGCTGCTGGCGTTCTGACGTGCTCTAGCATTGTCGTTACTCCTTTTAACTATCTCTTCCTCAGCCCGCTTTTGTACTATTGCCCGTACGGGCGAGCTGACGGCGTCCCCGGGTTCTAAGTTATGTTTGAGTGCATTATACGCGCTTACTAATTCGCTCTTGGCCGATAGAAAACCTAGTATTTCGTTGTTTTTGTTAGTGCGCTCTTCGATTTTAGACGGATCTAGCTGCGTACAGCTGGGGCAGTAAATCGTTTTATCCTGCGCTTCTTCTTCATCCATCAAGAAATACTTGGACTTCTTGACCCCTAGGCACTTAGCGTGCATCCAGATGGGGCAGATTTCACAACCCAACATCAAAGGTGTCGCCTGTCTATATGTACGCGTACATATGGGGCAGAAATAAGTTTGTGATTCAGACATTGTGCCTGAGTGAGTCGTCAGAAACAAAATCGAAGAAGAAGAATAATATGTTGAAAAGCAAACTACATACTACGACAATATTCCCTCTGTGGTGTGTTTTGCACGCGATTCGAATGTTTTTAAGAGTTATTCCATTTTTTATGACTTATAAAACTACAAAATGGAACAAGGAAGTCAGAAAATTAGGGTTTTGTCGCATTTATTTATTTATTTAAAAATTATTTAAGTCGTCGAGCTGAGTTGTTGCTCACCCCTTTTATGATTTGAAATTTTTTTTTAAACATATCTCGTATCTTTGAAAATACGGCGCGTGTCCTACGACAATACACACGCAGAGATTGAATGCTCAACCCTCTTGTACATACCATTATAACCACTATAATTTAATCCATAAAGGTATCTTATGGCGTCTTATGGCGTAGCAAAAGCAGCACAGCAGCGTAAACGACGGGTGAAAGGAATGCGGGCCGCTTTATTTGCAGGAGGGCAATAAATGCTCTCAGAGGATCCCCAGCAAGCCTCTACCGCAGTACCAAGCACCAATGCACAGCTGACAAAAACCGTAGATAATAGACCACGCCACGAATTGCAGGATAATTGTGGCACAAAGATAGCCGCTTGTACCGCTGACCATAGAAAAGTATGTGAACGTGGTATTGGCAGCAAGCGATTGTGTACCAATTGAGTTATCATCGCAGTATTTTACTTGTTATGTAATAATTATTGTTCGGTAATATCGTTGTGTATTTTTTTAGACGTCGTGTCTCTGCAATTTGTTGAAGCTACTTGTTCTGTTACCGAAACACAGACAAGGTGCCAATACACGTACTATTCCTCAAGGTAGAGAGATACAAGGCACTTATATACTATGGACAGCAAAACAAGGTAGACGCAATCATTAAAGCAGATAAACTACCTGATGGAAGTAACGGTCACTTATCAGATATAAAGCAAAATGCGTTCTACTCACTTACAGAGGCATCGCAATTCACGTCCGTACGCGGTTGTCGATCACTACTATTCGCCGCATTAACATTATCGTACCAAAATTCTGGTTCGTCGTCTACATCTATATTAGGTCTTCAAGAGCGGCGGCCAAGGTACAGGCAGACCGAAGGTACAGAGAGTGTAAGATATACAACTTTTATACGGCCACTCACGGCCAAACACTGAACACCACTACCTCTAATCCCAAGCGTAACAAATTAAACAATGGTAACCGTAGGAGCTCGGCCCGTATCGGTTTTTCCTTGGATTCAGATGGGGCGGAGCCATCTTTGTTGGCTAATTAGTAACGCTGCAAATATCAGATATGTAAACTGGAAAAGGTATCAATTAATAAAACCATTAAAACCCATTTAGGAAACTTAAGTTCCTCGTACTATTAAGAGTACGTTTATAGTTTACGTACTGCTTACGAGTACGTTTATAACATATAGTCTAATGTGGAGGCCCGGCTATTACACAGGCCCCGCCCAGCTTTGAGACTCACGAGAAGCAAGTTGCTTACTCAAGCTGATTATGGGTCAAAAAGCGAGAAAGGGTATATGTAACTCACTATATCTGCCACGAAAATAGTGAGCGGGTGTAGTTCTTATAACCGGATCAGCACACTCGTTCATCTGTGTTTGTACCCACTTAAGGTGGTACGGCCAATCATCTGCATCATTCGTTAATGCAGTACGCAAGAAGAACTTAAGTCTTCTACGGCGCGTTTCATTCGCGCCCTGCGTTTGCGGTTTATATGGCACACCTCTCTTATGGCATATGCTTGATACGAGTACTAGCGATTCCATTACGTCATCGCAGAACTCACTACAGTTATCAGTACACATAATACCTGGCCACCCGTGGTCAGCAAAGACTTGGCAACATAATTCTTCCACGGTCTGCGTATTCTTATATGGTTTTGCGTCAGCCAATCAAGAATGTTTTTTATCATTCTGCTCCTCCAGAATAAAGGGTGTTGAGAATCCACTTGCGTGGTCTCTAAGTTTGTACAAATGCTGTGTTGCATTTGAACTGATTAACGTTCAAATTGGTAGAGAGTGAGATCTCTGATTCTTTGACCTTGTTAAGAAAGGTCTCAGAAGGGATCCATTTGGTTGTTCCAATGGGGTCTATACGACATATTATAGTATGCCTCCAGGGCGTCTTCGGGACGGCTCGGGTACCATGATATAGGAAAGTATCTACTTCCCTATATAAATATATTGGCTCGCATTGTAGCATGCTTATTAATTTATTGAGCCACATATATTTACTCCGTAATGGGCAGCACAACGAGATGGTAGCTTTGTGTATATGAACATAATTTAATAGATGGGCAATTAACTGCCATAGTGGATTAGCCCACGCATTATTTTTGGAGATGTCTATTTGAAAGGCGTCTCCCAAAGAATGATTTAAAGCTTTGTAATTCGATAGTTGTGCATTATGATGTGCAGCAAACATATCTATGGTATGTGGCCCAAATATATTTTGAGCCAGTTCAAACCACCTGGGATTACCTTTCCAATCAGTGGTTAGCAACTCATGTACAGATTTATTTAAGTCCGGTACAAAGCGTGAAAACACAACCGGTAAATGGTTATGTATTCCTGGCAGATGCTTTATATCAAAATGAAACTTTGATATTGTATCATGCCAGCGACTCAATAATTGTGAGTCGGGTTTAATCTCTTTCATGTATTGAAGAGATTTCTAATCACACATCAGCGGAAATGCTGTTCCGTATAAGTAATCTCGGAAGTGTGTTAGAGCTGCCACTATGGCTAATAGCTCTTGTTTAACGGTTGGATAATTCAACTGTGAAGCATTCATTGCTCGACTAAAGAATTGTATATATCTAGGTTTGTTATCTATAACCTGATAAAATACTCCTCCTAAGGCTAAGTCGGAGGCGTCTGGCACGCCATCGACTGGTCCTTGTACAACAGGGGCTTGTTGGAATGCGTGCTCGAGCGCTTTAAATGCGTCATCACACTCTTTAGTCCACAAGTCTCTTAGTTTGCCTTTATGACATCTTAAGTGTCCAAAAGGTTCAAGGTAATCAGCCAAGTGTTGTACTTCATCTGAAAAGAAAGTTTACAAACCCACACATGCTGTTCACATCTCTTCCTGTAGTTGGTGTTCGCCAATCTAATAGGGTTTCCACCTTACCGGGGTCGATTTTAATACCTTCCCCATGTATACAGTAGCCTAAGAGCTGTATTTCGCTCATAGCGAAGTGACATTTCTTCTCGTTAATCTTGAATTTTTGTTCGTTGAATCTTAAGGACTCGTCTGACTAATGTGGCATGTTCGCCCTTAGTCATAGAAAAGATGACTATGTCATCCATATAGACTTGCATGTTAGGCATGTCTGCAAACATTTCCTCCATTACTTGTTGGAAGAATTGCTGGTAACCCGAAAGGTGCACCTCTGAACCTGTATTGTCTACCTTTCCACGTAAATCTAAAGTATTTACTATATGGTTCATATATCTGCATTTGATGGTATCCTTGTGTAAGGTCTATAGTTGTAAATACTGCAGCACCTTCCATCCTTCGCAGTAGCTCTTTAATACAAGGTAGGTGAAAGCTATGAGTTGACATTAATTTATTTATTGGACTCATATCTAAACATACTCTGACTTTCTTAAACGATCCGTCAGAGTTATGTTGGTCTACGGCTAGCAGTGCCAAGTTAACTGGCGTCTGTTGATAGTTAACTTCTATCACTCCATCTGCTAACCATTTCTCAACTTGTTCTTTTACCACAGCCTCGTGTCTCCAGGATACATAGTTCCTTGAGGGACACTTTAACTGTGTAAAGTCCACCTTGGTTAAGTCAAGGCTGACATACCCGTCGTTAAAACGGAATTTTGCCTAATCTATGACCTTTATCTTCTTATTATCTAGAATCAGATCCATGATTTTTCTCGCAAAGCCAGGTATTAATGCCTTGACTGTGTCTGACGGGGGCTTATATGGATTCAGACAGTTATCGTCTGGCTGATCCTTTAATGGATCTATGTTATTTGATAAACCAGTT